ATTTTTTATTTATTTGATCAACTTTTCTTCTGTTGATGCTGTCTGTGTTCAGAGCTCAGTGGATCTGCGTTCGACTACTCCGCCTAGGCTGCACTGTCGAGTGCAGATCCACTGAGCAGCGCAAGCTAGCAAGACAGAAGCTAAGCTCGTTGCAACATGGCAACTGCCTCAACACTCCCTGAAATTGAACCTCCCCCACCCTCATTCAGATCTGGCGTTTGGAACTATTTTGGTCTTCATGTGAAGTATGACCCTGAAGGTAAGCCAAAGTATCGAACTGGACCCAACCGTGAATTTTGTGTATCGTTGCACCCCTAATACATATTATAATAATAATTCGTCTGAATCCAGCATTCTAATCAAGCTGAAAAGTGTCCGTGAATACTGATGTTGGTGTTGCTGATTGTCTGCAGGAGGAGAAGTCTCAAACTATCACATCTCACATCTGGCTCTACATGGTAAGAAGGTGGACTTGTTTGAAAAACCATTGTCTGTTATCAGTAAATATATCAACTTTAGTGACATTCTTGGCTCTTTTAACTCTCACACAGTTCGTATTAAGTCAGAATTATCTTTAAATCCGAGCTTTTACTTTTCCTAGTCTTGGACAAATGAGTTCCTTACTTGGAATTCTTCAGACTTTTGTGGGATAGAAGAGATAACCCTTCCAAAATCACTTCTGTGGGTCCCCGATGTGAGAATCAATGAGGAGTAAGTACTGTTCATTACACAAGTGCAAAATAACTTGGGCTTGTATACAGTTTTATTCTGGGGTAATTCCTACAAGGAAAGCAAGCTGCCCAGGAAAAAGTCTGACTTACATTAGCTTGAATACCTGATTAACAATACTGAAACTTCAATTTTGGTCCAAGTGTGAAATATACACACAACACTGTAGACATAACTTATCTAGACTACAGCTGGGTTCAGACATCTAGGAAACATTTGTCCGCAGAACATTTGCAACGATATTTTGTTAATTGAAAATTGGGGGTTGAGACCCTGCACAGGTCTCACACAGGCCATCACAACGAGTGGATATAAATGATAGATTTATTATTGGAGTAATACCTTTAGTACATGAATGACATCAAACTGAACTCCAGGAGTGAGCAAAACATTTACTCACGGATCCACCTCACTAGGCTCTGCAGTGAGGACATCAGGATGTTATTTGGGTTGGAGAAGTTGCAACAGCAAACATACAGAACACCTGCAACTACCTGAGTGTCCCACAGGCCAACAGGAAGCATGAGAAAGACAGAAGATGGTCAGCAAAACCAAATACCTCCAAAAGATAAAGAAAGATCCTCAAAAGCCAGTTCAGCAGATTTAAGCTGCCAATATGCATGCCCTACCAGCCATCAGATATCGAACGAGAAGTAAACAGGAAATGCCACAGTCCAACAAAAAGAAAAATGCGTGGCAGAAACTAATGAGTATCAAAGGCACAATCCAGCATCCATAAATTCAGGAACACTGTCCCCTGATGTGAGCTGCTGCCGGAGTGACAACGATAAGGACTACAAGGAGGGAGTATCCCGGAATTCTTCTCAGATGTACAGTTAGGTCCATATATATTTGGACTCTGACGCAAGTTTGTTTTTACCTGTTTACTGAAACATATTCCAATTATAACATAATGCATAGACTCTCAGCTTCATTTGAGGATATGCACATTCAAACTGAATGGAGAGTTTAGGAGTTTCAGTTCCTTAATATGTGCCACCAACTTTTTAATTGGACAGTTGACTCAAAGGCTTTTTTATGGGCAGGTGTGGGTAGTTCCTACGTTACGTCCTTATCAAATAAGGGGACAAAAAGCCTGGGCTTGATTTGAGGTGTGGTGCTTGCATTTGTAAGATTTTGCTGTGAACAGACGACGTGCAGTCAAAGGAACTCTCCATGCAGGTGAAACAAGCCACACTTAAGCTGCAAAGACAGAAAAAAACCCATCCAAGAAACTGCTAAAATATTATTATTAATCTACAGTTTGGTACATCGTGAGAAAGAAAGAAAGCACTGGGGAAGACCTGCGTCCACAGAAGACAACAGTGGTGGATGATCACAGAATCATTTCTATGGTGAAGAGAAACCCACTCACAACAGCCACAACAAGTGAACACTGCTCTCCAGGAGGAAGGTGTATTGATATCCAAATCTACCATAAAAAGAAGAGTGCATGAAAGTAAATACAGAGGGTTCAGTGCAAGGTGCAAGCCACTCATAAGCCTCAAGAATGGAAAGACAGGATTGGACTTTGACAGAAAAACATCTGAAAAAGTTCTGTAAAAACTTTCTTTGGAAATATGAAACCAAGATCAACCTCCACCAGAATGATGGAGTATGGAGAAGGCGCAGAACAGCTCATCATCCAAAGCATGCTACATCATGTGTACAACACTAGTGTTTATTGTTAATATGACACAGGACAGAAGCAGCAGAATGAATTCCGAGGTTTTCAGAGAAATACTGTCTGCTCAAATCCAGCTAGATGCAGTCAGATTGATTGGGCGGTGTTTCATACGACAGATGGACAATGACCCAAAACATACAGCCAAAGCAACCCAGGAGTTTATTAA